GGCGACATATTCCAGTATCACGACGAGGCCGCAAGTCTTCAGATTCTGCGAGAGTCGGAAAAGGAGCAGGGAAAGGATGCGACAAAGAGTTTTGCCGAAACCCTTTCTTGTTTGGAAGGGGGCTCTCGGAGGCAAGTGGCCCAGAATAACACCCTGCATGGCAAGGGAGAAAAGGCCCAGAGTGACCTCAGAGGAGACTCCAGGTGGAGCTCAGACATTCGCATAATCCACCTGCTTGAGAAACCAGGGCAATTGCAGTACCGAGTGGAAACCTTTGGTGAAAGCTCAACCCTTGTGGCAAGCGAGAGAAGCCCCCAGGGAGAGAAGACGCATAAGTGCACCTACTGTGGGAGGAGCTTCTGTCATAGGGCAAGTCTCGCAGCACACGAGAGAATCCACACAGGTGAGAAAATGGGTCTGTGTCAAGGCTGAAAGCTGCATTCGCTGGGCAGGTGGAGAACTCCATGGGTGCCTGAGCAGATCAGGGGCTGAATTGAAGGAAGTCCCCATTGCCATCCCTGGCAGATCCAGTTAAAAGGATCTGGGGGTTTTCCCTGTCCCTGAAACCCATCCTTAACTGCACGGCCACAGGAATAGTTAATACAGGGCTAAGGTAGACTATTAGTCTCACTTGGTATAAAGTGGCTTAGCAGGTGTAAATCAATGGCTGGATACACACTGACCCATTTGCAACACAAAAATGTAGTTTTTCTCATTCCAGAGTCATTCATGCTTGTCCTCAGCATGCAGATGGAACAGGCGATTGCAATCTTGGTATACAACCATGGCTACTATTCTTTAATTATTATTTAAATTTATTGGTTCCTTTGTTAACCTAGGTATCTGAAAGTGAATTACAATATATAAAAAGGCAAACACGTACATTGAAATGAGCATAAAAGAAAAAACAAAACAAAGACAATCTTAAAGACAATCCTGTTTTTAAAAGACAGGGTTAAAACATTCTGCCCGCTCAAGTTGGCCACAGATAATTAAGAACCAAAGGCCTGGCAAAAAAGACGTGATTTTGCCTGGTGCCTAAAGCTATGTAATGATGGTGCCAGGCAAGCCTCCCCGGGGTGAGCATTCCACAAGTGGGGAGCCACCACCGAAAAGGCCCATTCTCATGTTGCCACCCTCCAGATCTCCTGAGGAGGGGCACACAAAGGTCACGGGGATTCTTTTTCTTGCTCTGTTGTTGCTTTTCTTGTCTTGTGAGACCCTTTGGGCACATTTCTGTGGAAAAGCAGCATGCAAATTTAATGGGTCTCCTCTCAGTGGATGCAACACGATGTCTTCTTGTCTTGATGGCTACCTCCGGATAGGACTAGAACTAGATACAGACATTAAAATAATGTGGAAAACGGGTGAAGATACAGATTTTTCCTTCTTTGGGGTGGAGAACCTTTTTGCTTTAGTTGAGATTCCTGCATTGCAGGGGGTTGGACTAGATCAGTGTTTTTCAACCTTTTTTGGGCAAAGGCACACTTGTTTCATGAAAAAATCACGAGGCACACCACCATTAGAAAATGTTAAAAAATTTAACTCTGTGACTATATTGACTATATATAAAGTAATTCTCTTGAATAGGAATCAAATAAACACAAAGAAAGTATTTTATAATTACTTTATTATGAAATAGTAAGTAAACAGAAATGTGAAAAATTATAAAATACTTTATTTTTAAATCTTTCGAATTTTTCAATTTTTCCCACGGCACACCAGGCAACATCTCGCGGCACACTAGTGTGCCGCGGAACAGTGGTTGAAAAACACTGGACTAGATGACACGTGGGGTTCCTTCCAATTCTACAATTCTGTGATTCCATGTTTAAATTTGAGGAACAGGACAGAGATTTGCAGCTGTTGCAATCTCTTAGCCACAGCAAGGATTTCACATCAAGGTTCTTTTTTAATATATATACATCCAGGAGCACTTGAAACCGCAGGACATCGCCTTCAGCAGGAAAGCTCAGAACAACTGGAGCTAAGAGAGTTGAGACGAGGCAAGGTTTCGTGTCATGGCAAAGAGGGAGTGAGGCCTGCGGGTCAGCAGGGGATCAGGCCAGAGAGGAACGTGGATGGAGCTCTTCTCAGTAAAGGAGGCGACTTGGGGTGGGAAGAGGGCAACGGTCACCAGAGGCTCCACCACTGCCATTGCGGAAGGAGCTTCAAGCACCGCTGCAACCTGAAAGCCCACGAGCGGACCCACACGGGAGAAAGGCCCCACAAGTGTTTGGACTGTGGGAGGAGCTTCGGCAAGGGTTCCACGCTCCGGGCTCACGTGAGGACTCACACCGGGGAGAAGCCATACATGTGCTCCACCTGCGGGAAAAGGTTCACGACCAGGTCGGGCCTCCTGACCCATGAGAGAATCCACACAGGGGAGAGGCCCTATAAGTGTTCGGACTGCGGGAGGAGCTTCATCCAGAAGTCCTGCCTTCTGGCCCACGAGATAAGCCACAAAGGAGAGAAGTCGTACAGCTGCTCCGATTGCGGGAAGAACTTCGGGCACAGCTCAGGCCTTCGCGTGCATCGGAGAATTCACTTGGGAGGGAGAACCACGGAGAAGCTCTGACTGCGGTGGAACAAATGGACAGACAAACCATGGTTAAAGCAAATCACGGCTGAGTGTTAAATGTGCTAATGCGGTGTCTCTCTGGAGCTACAAATTTGTGTTGTTAAGGCAAAGGAGTCTTTCAGATATCAATAGGTGATGGGTGAGGACTGAGATCTGGCAGTTGTGGAGAACACAAAAAGCTTTGTTGAACCGGATTTACCCCCCTGATTCTCCCAGATAAAACCTAGTAGTTCTTATTTCAGCAGTAAACTGGTGTCTTGAGCTGTACCATTTCTGACGGTAGTAGGGAGCTCAATATGTTCAAATGCTTCACTATTAAAAAGAAGCAAACACCCTGCATCTAGAAAGCTAGTGTGCCAATGAGAATCATTTAAGCCCAGGCACACTAGTTTTCTATATGCAGGGTTGTTGTTTTTATGCATTCAGGAACATGAGTCCTCCCCCTGCAATCTGAAATGGTACTTCCCAGAGGCAGATTTACCCCCTTATGTGAACCAGACCATAGCTGGAATTGTATCTCTTTTGACAATTTTTCACATTGTATGGATGCTTTTTATTTATTTGCCCCTGAAGAAATCGGACACAAGAACTCCAACCCCGCCTGCAAATATGAATGTAGAGGCAGAGAACTCAGCCTTCTTTGAATTGCTGTCGTAGATAAAATTTTATATGTATTTATTTTTAGTGAGTTGCTGTTCCAATTTGTATTATACAAACTGATCGTTTTATTTTTCATGTTTTAAAAGCAAGGTCTTTGCACTTTGGGCCAAACAAACCCCAACACTAACAGAGTTAGCAATGCCAGTAACTAGCCAGCGACAAGACCTTGAGGTTGTGGTGGATAGTTTTGATGAAGACATCTATCTACCCAGTATATGCCACAGCTGTGAAAAAGGCAAATTCCACCCTGGGAATTGTTAAGAAAGGAATTGAAAATAAAATTGCTGATATAATGCTGTTCTACAAATCTATTGTGGTAAGAAAAATACTACTCCCTTTCACTTATGGGGTGTCTAAGAGCCCGTATAGAGTCCTTATGTAGGTTCTCTATCAGTAGGAGAAAATAACAGGTCAACCAGAGAGTACTGAGAAGCAAAGCAGCTAGTAAGCCTGATCTTTATTAAACTGTTGCAACAGGGTCCCTCACTCCCCCATGCAGGGAGGGTGGAGAGGAACCCAGAACATTGGTGTGCAAGATGTTATATAGACATTTGAAATTGCCTACCCTGTAGCTCAAGACCACCCCCCAAAACATCACACATACATCACAGAAAGAGGTGGTCCCCAGCAGAAATTTGAGTGTGTTGCTTCTACCTGATATCTGATTGCCTTTTCTGGGTAGCCTGGTCATTCCTTTGAGATGGTAAATATTTAGTTCCTGAATCTCTTACGCATATTGATAGTGTGCTCAGCTTAACAGATACTTGCCAGACTGTATTTACAGGGAGGTGTAAGCCCCCACAGTCCAAAGACAATTGGAAAGCTTTTCCCATTTCCTTCCTCCTTGCAGAGAAATATTTGAGGTCAATTTGGGAGAGTCAAAATGGCTTCAGAATTCTATTATTTCCTTGTTTTAAAATATTTGTTCTACTACCTAATATTTTACTTGATTTAAGGAAACTATAGCTACTATAGGGACGCGGGTGGCACTGTGGGTTAAACCACAGAGCCTAGGACTTACCTATCAGAAGGTCGGTGGTTCGAACCCCCAGGACAGGGTGAGCTCCCGTTGTTCGGTCCATGCTCCTGCCAACCTAGCAGTTCAAAAGCACGTCAAAGTGCAAGTAGATATATAGGTACCGCTCTGGTGGGAAGGTAAACTGTGTTTCTGTGCACTGCTCTGGTACACCAGAAGTGGCTTAGTCATGCTGGCCACATGACCCGGAAGCTGTACGTCGGCTCCCTCAGCCAATAAAGCGAGATGAGCGCCGCAACTCCAGAGTCGGCCACGGCTGGACCTAATGGTCAGGGGTCCCTTTACCTTTACTGCTTCAGACACTATACTTATGCATGTGTATTTGCCCTGTACATTTATGAACATTTATTCTATATATATGACCTTAGAATTCCTATAACACTATGATGAGACTGCATTTGGAATACCGTATGTGTACAGCTCTGATCATCTCGCTTCACAGAAGGATATTGCAGAGCTGGAAAAGTTTATTTTTACATTTCTACTCCACCTTGAGCTACCCTAAGCTTGCACGCATGGTGTCCCCCCCCCCCACCTCTCCATTTTATCTTCACAACAACCCTGTGAGGTATATTAGGCTCAGGCTGACTATTCCAATCTCACCCTGTAGGTGGCAGAGTGGGGAATTTGAACCCTGGGCTGCCAAGTCCTAGTCCAGCCTTTAAGCACTTTACCATGCAGGATCTTGTGTGTGTGTGTGTGTGTGTGTGTGCATATAAGCACATCAACACACTCAGGTTCCCCAGTCACAATTTATCTTGCACAACCAACTTGCTTCGCCATCAGACTTCATTGCAATAAGCAAAAGCGCCAGGAAACAAGTCGGATTATCGACCAGAGAAGAGTGTATGCAAGGTTATTCATTACTCAAATGGTTAAATCCACCGAGTTTAGCTCCAGTTCCTAGAAAGGCCAGAGAGTGAGTGGAGGAGGCAGAGGAGGAAGAAAGATGACGATTGAATAGGAAAACTACTTCCTTGCCAGACCTTTTCCCATCGCGCCCCCTGGAGGTGGATGGCGGAGTTGGTTTGTTCTACGACCTTTGCAGAAAAGGGGGTTCGCGTTGGAGCCTTTTAACAGATCTCCCCACCCCCAGCTGCAGTTAGCAGGGTTTGCATTGCAAAAGGCTGCAAGGAGAGGTGAGCGTGGAGGGAAAGGAAGGGGGTTTAAAGGGGAGCCTAGTAAGTTCCAGAGAATGGACAGCAGGAGCCCAAGAGCTGGTTGCGCAAGAAGGGAGAGAGACTGAAGAAGAGGAAGAAAAAAGATCCGTTGTGTGTTCAGATACTCTGGTTTCGTCGATTATCTGGCATTTCACCCTGGTAAATCCACGTGTGTGTGTGTGTGTTTTGGGAAGGGGTGCCTTCATCATTATGATTGTAAAATAGTAATACCGGTACATTTCTGGTCAAAGCGTTTCTTCTCATGCAAGCCTATCCAAGATGCCTAGAATGCTTTAGTCGGCCTTTAACTACACATATTTTAATAAACAGCTTGATTTTTTTTAATCTGTTTTTGTTGTTGTTGACAGTTATCATCATCATTATTTGCAAACTCTTTAGAGGTTTTGGGTGCAATCCAGCAGTATGCAATATAGTTATTACTCATATCTTTATTTACTATCCCAGCTTCCTAACAGCTTGTGGTACCAGCTGCTTCCTGGTTGGCCACACTGAGAACAGGATGCTGAACTAGATGTGACACTGGCCTGAAATAGCAGGGCTCTTTTTGGTTGTTGTTGTGGCCCTCAGGCTGAAAAAGTGCCCCATCTCTGCTGTAAGGGGGTGCCGCCACTGAGACATCCCTCTGCCCAGTCACCATCCGCCTCATTTCCTAGGGCAGGTGTCCGAGAGCAGAATCCCAGGTGACGATTTTAATATTTATTTATGGCACCATTTATATGCCGTTCCCAGGGAGTTCTCTGGCAGCCTACGATAAAGAGGTTCAAAGGCAGTCCTAACCTTGGATTTGATATCCCGCCTTTCACTCCCCTTCAGGAGTCTCAAAGCGGCTAACATTCTCCATTCCCTTCCTCCCCCACAACAAACACTCTGTGAGGTGAGTGGGGCTGAGAGACTTCAGAGAAGTGTGACTGGCCCAAGGTCACCCAGCAGCTGCATGTGGAGGAGCGGAGACGCGAACCCGGTTCCCCAGAATACGAGACTACAGCTCTTAACCACTACACCACACTGGCTCTCCAAGCATACAAATGTATCCTTAAGCATAGAAATGCAGCATAGCATTAAGCAACGTGGAAAAAACACGTTGAAAACTAAAGAATTCTCAAGCAGCCCCAGCAGAACTCAAAACCCTTAGAGTTCCAAGTCCTGCAATCCCTTATAGACTTTGAAACTTTATTTTTTAAAAAAGCTGGGATGCTATATATCTTCACCCAACTCTGACTTGTGCTGTGTTCACATTACTGTCTTAGAACAAAATGAAGCAGCCTTCCCTCTGGCCCACATGATATGAATATCATGCAAATAGCCCTAAAGAGAGGTTTCAAATCTCAGAATAGTTGTGCTCTTTGTGCCTCTAGGCAAAAGTGCTGTTTTCAAATGCTGCAAAAGAGGAAAGGACAAAAAATGCATCTATCCAGCCATACAGAAACACCTCTCTCTCTTTTCCTTTCATGCAATGAAAGGCTTTATAACAATTCAAGTCAGGCAAAAGCACTCAAGGAAGAAAAGGCCTCTGCGAGGGGTTGTGACTTAGTGGTCCTGAGGGCCAAACGGAGAGGTTTGAAGGGTCACTTTTGTTCCTGAGCCTGAGGTTCCTTACCCCAGCCTTAGGGCATTGTCTTGTTGCTCACCTGGTGCTGAGCTGCCTGTCTTTCTGCAGTCAGACAAGTCCTTCTCTTTGCCCAATCAGGCTTTTTAGATCCTAGCCTTTCATCTTCTGTGTCACTACTGCCTTTTTGCTGTTCTCATAGTGTGGTGAGCCATTTTTAAAGCCTGACGTGTGGGGTAATATTTATTCATAAGAAATAAGCATCCAGAGCAGGATGTGACTCATATTATCATTCTCCTTTTCGTCCTAGGCAGGTTATGGACGGGTGTGTGAGAATATGACGGAAGAAGCTTCAGGAACAAGTGGATCTGGGAAAGATTTGAGTGAAGCTGCTCCCAGAGGATTGTTTGGATGTGAAGAAAGTGAAAGTTCATGATTATGGTGCCCTAAAGCCATGTGCTGATGTCAAAGGCAGCTTCCAACAGAGCTGAAATCATAAACACCAAATAATGCATACAGGAGAGGATAAATATAAGTGTTCAGAATGTGGGAAAACCTTCCGCCGGAGCACCAACCTTCTTGTACATGAAAGAACCCATACCGGAGAGAAACCATACGAGTGCTCCAACTGTGGGAGAAGCTTCACCCACAGCTCAAATCTTAGGGCACATGAAAAAATCCACACGAGAGAAAAGCCGTATGCATGCACAGACTGTGGCCAGACCTTCTATCACAGCTCGAGCCTTACAGCGCATGAGAGAATCCACACAGGGGAGAATGTACACAGGTGCCCACACTGTGAGAAGGTCTTCACTCGTGGCTCAGTTTTTAGGAAACACATGAGAATCCATACAGGTGAGAAACCATTCAAGTGCTCAGACTGTGGGAAAAGTTTCTCTCAGAGGTGCAATCTAATTATCCACGGGAAGACCCACACAGGAGAGAGACCCTTTAAGTGCTCCGATTGCGGGAGAAACTTCAGTCGAAAATGTGACCTCATCGCACACGAGAGAATCCACACGGAAGAGGACCCATACAAGTGTCCGCACTGCGGGAAAAGCTTCTCTCAGAAGTCCAACCTTGTCATACATGAGAGGATCCATACAGATGAGAATCCATATCCATGTCTGCACTGTGGGAAACGCTTCCGTCAGAAGGGCAACCTCATGACGCACGTGCGGATCCACACAGGAGAGAAGCCGTACCAGTGTCTGGATTGCGGGAGGAGATTCAGTCAGAAGGGCAGCCTCACATCACATGAGAAAACCCATTCAAGAGAGAAAAGGACATCTTGCATGCAGGAAGTGAGGACTTGATATTTTCCAGCCTCAGGTGGAAGTATACCTGATTTAGTTTTTTGGCTTGGGAGAGCCCTGGTAGTTCCTCAAAACCTTACTAAGGGATCTCTCAGTGCAAAGATCAATAGGGGCAAACATGCTTCCCTGAAAGATGGATTGCCCACTAATATTGATCATCCTCAACACATAGCTCTCGATCTACCAGGCTTGTCTTGTTCTTATGCACCACAAACCCTGCCCCTAAAAAGATGAAACCCTAGTTATTGTGGCTGGAGAAATACAGGACTGTGAAACCAGCTAGGAACAGTTAGAAGTAGTAACATTACTCAGCAGCACTCAAGCTTTAATACATCTGTCATGAGTTTTAAAAAGAAAAGGCATTTGGGGGGGGTTACTTAAAATACTTTAAAATAAAAAAAATCCTTCCAGTAGCACCTTAAAGACCAACTAAGTTAGTTCTTGGTATGAGCTTTCGTGTGCATGCACACTTCTTCAGATACACTGAAACAAGTTGCCAGATCCTTCTATATAGTGAGAAGGTGGGGAGGGGTATTACTCAGAAGGGTGGTGGGAATGGGTGATTGGCAGATAGCTGAGATGACTATATAGAAGGATCTGGCAACTTCTGTTTCAGTGTATCTGAAGAAGTGTGCATGCACACGAAAACTCATACCAAGAACTAACTTAGTTGGTCTTTAAGGTGCTACTGGAAGGAATTTTTTTATTTTGACTATGGCAGACCAACACGGCTACCTATCTGTAGTTAAAATACTTTGTGTTTGCTGCTCTTGGGGGTTCTTAAAATGATATGTTGTATGTGTATATTTTAGCTCTGGTGTTGGAATTTGCTCTGCAGAGGGCCTCAAATGGTAGGAAATGGTTTAAGAGAAGGGCAGGTTCATAACCGCCTCTTCCTGGTATTTCATTTAACAGAGTCCTACCGCCTCAGTTTCATAACGGAGTGGGTCTTCTGCTCCTTCTTCATAGTTATCCCGTATCTGCACTTGGGAATTGATCACTTTCGCCTGCCTACAGCGGAGTTGTCAAGGATTGTTGGGGAAATTAACGTGAAACACTGAACACTAAAAAGATAATTCTACTACAAATTAATTTGTAATGAAACGCAGCAGTCTATAGGGTGCTCATGGTTATCTTGCTGTCTTCTAGGATACTTCTCTCTCTCTCTCTCTCTCTCTCTCTCTCTCTCTCACACACACACACACACACACACACACACACACAAACTTTTCCTGTCTCATCAGAGAATCAGCTTTTCAAGGCCACTAGAAATGTGTGTTCCTCTTTGGCCTGTTTTCGGAAGGTTTTCTAAAGTTGCTGGGGTTCCTCTATGCCTGCTGATACTTTGTGCATGGATGTTGCCATTTTGGCTACCTTTGGGCCAGCACTTGAAGAACCCAGTAGCCATGTGATTGCCTCCTTTCTTTTTTTGTTTGTTTTTAAATAAAAGTGATTCCCTTTTCTCCTTCCCACCCGTTTTTATATGTAAGTGCACAACACTGAACATTTCACTGCCACTCCTCCATGGCTCAGTTTACAATTCACAACAACCCATAAAATAAAAGAAAGGGAAAGACAGAGCAAGAAAGGAGGAGACTCACTTGAATGAAACCTCCACTGTACAAAAGCAGTCCCTGCATATAGAAATCTAGCAAGTCAGGGGAAAGAATGTTAGGGCCAAATTAATGCTACTGCTTGTGGGCGTCTTCCCACAGGCCTCTGGTTGGCCACGGTGAGAACTGCATGGGCCATTGGCCTAATCCAGCAGGCTCTCCTTGAGTTCTTATGCCCAGCTTCCATAATTCAGTTTGGGCTAAAGTGTTGACGAAGGCGAGATTCAAACCCACATGCATGAGAGGCAATGGATGAGCCAGTCATCACCTTCGCCTTGTGATCATGAGGGTAGGGGACCCAAACCTGTACCTGGATGGACTCGAACCACCATTCTTCTGGTTAACAACCAGACACACTAACCAACGGAGCCACAGAGAGCTGAATGGTTTCCCCCCTCAGCCTTTAGGCTGAGGTTTTGTTGCTGGAGCTGAATAGATGACAAACAGACAGATGGTTCGAGAGGCCGAGCAATTTAATGTCTGAGCAAACTTGGTCACTACATTTTCACCCTGAAGCCCACATCATTTCTGAACAGAGGATTCGTTCTTTTTTAATTTAAACATTCTTCTTAGTTTAACATAGAAAAATATTACTGATTAAAATATACTTGTAGTTCTAAAAAATTGTTTCATCTCTGACCAGATGCTGGACAAGGCAGATGGGATTTGGAGTCCAGCCTCATCCAAAGGACCACATTGGCTGTAATCCTAAACACATCTAAACAGCCAAAAGCCCCACTGAAGTCAGTGCATTCCTATTCAGGAACATAATATTTACTGGGACTGTTAAAGTGATATTGTCTCTAAGAAATAACCTGCAGAGGGAATTCCAGGAAAGGGAAGGAAAAAGCAAATAAAACAAAATTTAAAAAACTAGCCCCATTTTTTGTCTGTTTTCTTGCTTCTGCTGATTGTGACTAGAGTGAGTCATCTCAAAAGGCCTTTGCAAAGCTGTCAAAAGAGCTCTTGAGGTGTTTGGTTTTATATCTGTCATTTTCATTTGGAGAGAAACTCCCAACTGTTCCTGTGAGGCAGATTTAGCCTCCTTAGGAGATTCTGAGGTGGATTTTATCTCCCCTCAGATAAAAGAAAGGGAGGAAAGTCTCTCCAGAGAACGAGGCTCCTGAGAATGTGTAGAGTTCAGCTCCTGAGTCAGCACCAGTAAAAGATATCTCCCCTGCTTCACAGTCCAGAGTCACCCGGATCCTCCTGGGCTCCTCACTTAGGGACAAAGGAGAGGAATCAGGGGAGGTGCAGGCCGTGTACTTACCTCTCAATTTCCCCACAGCCCAGATCCCTTCCTCATAACTTAACTCACAGAAGGTATTAATTATTCTCATGAGAAAGTCATCCTTTCTCCTCAGAGACTTCCTGGCAACCCCTACAGCCCATTCTCCCTCACTTCCCACAGTGACTTCCCAGAAATGTCTGCCTGCTGTGAATCCCTCACGTCCCAGCACACAATGCCAGTCACTGAATCTCTCGGGATTGTCAGGCAGGGCTTGCTTTTTGTCTCCCCATCTCACGCTTTTCCGATCCTCGGACAGGATGAGCCTGGGATGGGCTGTGTCTGGATCCAGAGTGACATTTTCTGTTGGAAAAAGAAGAGAGGCAGAATCAGCTGAGAGTCAGAGATGGACATCCTGATCCAAGAAACGCCCCAGGAACCAGATTCCCTCTCAAAGAAATGGGATTTCTTTGTATTGCATACAGAACTGGGATACTTCTCTCTTTCTTCCATACTTTCCCCACAATAAATACTTTCCTTGTTGGTTTTAAATCTTTTTTTTTTATTGCTCATAATGATATCTTTACATCATAACTTTACATCATAAAAATATCTATCCAAAAAATGTTTGTGATTATTGTTGTTGTCCATTTTAGATCATCAAACATTACATGTACACAAAAAAGAAAAGAGATGTAATTCAAATCATAATATTCTTCATAAATAAATGACTTCCCATCTCTTCCATTTTATTATAATAAACTTGTTGCCTGTATTTATCTATTTTCTTTTTCTTTGAAGTACTATTATTTCTATCTATCTTCATTTTAATATTGGTTATCTACAGACATTACTCAAAGGCCATTACCGTTTTCAGATTGCAGCCCTTGTTGGTTTTTAATCAGTTGGTTTCTTCTTTCTGTATTCAATGTACCAGTATTTACAATGAAACAAAACCACCTAGTGAACCTTTAATCAGCTCTTCTGTGTTTGTGAATGGGAGGGGGAGTAGGAGAGAAGGGGACTTGCCCTCCTTAGGCATCTCTGTATGATATGGCCATTTGGGGCTCTCAGTGGGTGGGTGATGAGGGCCCCCCAGTTCAGATAAGCAGAGAACAGGCATTCACTCTTAGATGCCCTCATTATGCTTAGAGTTGGGGAGAGTGTCAGTGCAGAGACCCATCAACCTATTCTACCCAGAAGTGGATCTGCTATAAAACTAAGGAAGCTTAAGCTTCAGGGCCCAAAACCCCATAAAGTCCCCAGAAGTGACTTGATTCATGCATGTATATAACGTTTCTCTAATTTTCATTTCCCCCCCCCCCAAACTTGAAAACTATAAGACATAGGAAATATTTATTCACACGAGTGACACTGACCTGAGATAATCCAGTACAGCAATTTTAAGCAAAATCTGAGATGTAGTAGCTAATAATAATTTGAAAAATTGTGGTGATCTGTCATGGAACGACCCCACTGAAGAATATAACAGTGGTTACTCAGACCTTTGTGGTTTGTCAGGTTGAATTTTACTTTTTGAAATATGGCAATCCTAGATCAAGCAGGATTGCAGAAGTTGTGCCCACACTCTGGGATGATCACTGGATCCTTGGAATACTCCAGGCAGATGGAGCAAGTGGATTCAGCACAAAGAGTGGCTTCCTCACTCCAGAGAAGGAGTTAAGTTTCACTTTCTCAGTTTTCAGTAACTGGGTGTTTCCCTTTCTGTAACTGATTCAGGAAGAAACTCAGTGCTGACGTGCTTTTTTTAAATCTGCAGTTGCTCAACAAATCAGCTTGGAAATAAGCTGGTTAGGACTTCCAGAGGCGGCGCAAAACGGCAATGGCGGTCCTCTTTAGTCTCTAAAGAGGGGCTCCGCAGAAAAGGATCGTTCCGCTACGGCACAGCGACGATCCATCAAGAAAAACCACGAGCAGAGTGAGCTCGTGGCCGTGGGACTCAGCGGGCACCTGGAGCGACCCCCAAAACGAAGAAGGGACCCCGTAAGGGGCTCCGGAAGCGCGGAGGGGAAGCGGTGCTGAGAGTTCATCGCTCTTTCTGCGGGAGCGAAGCC